ACGCGGAGTATCTGGCAAGCTGGACGATGAGAACTGGCGACATTGTAGTACAACTTCAGCACGCGGAGCAATCTATGCAGCTAGAAGCTGAGGACTGGCGACTTCGTAGTACAACTAGAGTTGTACTGGCGAACAGTGTAGTACGCGGAGGAGTCATCTCTCGCTGCTCATTCATCTCTCGCTGCTGAGTCAGCTCTCGCTATAGCCATCTCTCGCGGCTGAGTCATCTCTCGCGACTGAGTCATCTCTCGCTGCTGAGTCATCTCTCACGGAGTGCACGTTCAGTTCATACTGATAGTATTTGGTTGCAGTTATGCAGGACAGGACATTCAACTGCTGGTCAAGACACCACTCGTCATACACCACTCAACATACACCACTCATCATTCATCACTTGTCATACACCCCTCATCATACAAGACTCATCATACATAGTCTCAGAGTTCAAGACAGATTTTACATTCAAATTCGGATTCCATTCAGTCCGATGTGTGATATGCAAGGTTTGCCGCCACTGAAGAATGCCACGGTGGGATGTGTGTGTCGATGTGGACCGCATCCTTGGCAAGTTGTGGTGGCCGGATGTGCGTCATCTCTCGCAGGGGGCACACACACCTTACGCACGTGGAATCCCGTGGGTCAAAAGTCCGGAGCGCGTGCGTTTGACTGGAGGACGCGCATGTTGGAGAGAACGTGGACACTCCTATAGGTCAATTTCTTCTTATAGGAAACTTCCGCCGCCGGCTTGCCCGCAAACTACTTGTATTGATTTAGGCACCCAAAATCATCTTCCATAATCTTCCATATTCTTCCTTACCACTATCCATATGCTGTATACAATAACCCCTCGCTTCAGCCGTTTCAGCCCATGTTTTTTCGCTTCAAACACCGACCCCAAGCGGCCCCCCCGGGTCATTGTCCCAAGAGACACCAGGCCGCCCGAACAACCCGAGGTGGTTCACTCCAAGCGGCCGGTGCACGTGCTTCCTCCAGCTTCCGGCGCAGTAGCCCTTCCTCACGCGCTTGTGCCGCAGAGAGCGCCTCCCGCCGGGGACCAGTGGACCGGCTGGCGAAGCACGACGTGCCACAGCCGTAGTAGCTTGGGAAGTGTCAAGACGTGTATCTTCCCAAGCATGGCTAGCTGGTGGCTGTGGGTAGCTGTGGGTGTGGCAACTGTTAAAACAGTTGGGCTCACCCTTGGCCTTGGCTAGTCACTGGCCAAAACTCACCTGAACCAAAGGCGACTAAACCAGGAGTCAGTCACAAGGATGAAATCTGTGGGGTTCCTGTTCTCCAGCATTTGGACGAGTTGCCTCATGCCCTTCCGCTTGAAATGATCAACATGCACTACAGTAGCATGTTTACACTCCCTGGAAACATCATGGAAGTGTTTTACCACTTGTCAGTGGAGGAAAATGGTCATCCACCCCACAACATCCCCACCGTCGTTCCCCCGACGTCTCAGCGGTCAATCGCGCCTCCACGGCTTCAAGCTTCGCAGCCAACTCCTGGAGAGGTGACAGGCATCCCAGATTGGCGCGACGTAAACAGGTGCGGTGGTGTTTGGGGGGGTCCGGGGCAAGACCGGTTCTGGAAGGTGTCCGGAAAGTCACCTTGTCTTCGACTTCTTCTTATAGTGGTTTTGAGTCTACAAGGTCAAGTGAAAATCTGATCATGAGTCGCAGGAGTGCAAGGTTGAAATGACTGGAAAAAATGAACGATGCAACGTACCCGATATTTCACCAAGAATTGGCATGATACATGAGAACCTGCAGTTGAAAATACAGTATATAATATAAATATATGTAAATATAATAAATAAATGACCTTGGTAGGCTCTGTGTAACAAAAGGAGCATGGAAATACTCGTGCCAACTTGTAATTGAGCCGCCTTGCATCCAACACTCAGGACTCATGTTGTTGGTTTTTCCACTTGCCAAGCTCTTTTTGTCCCATCATGTCCCATCCCCTTTTCCGGAACCAGCTCTTACAAAAGGCATACACCCTGCAAGAACTCCCATCTCCCTTCCCACTCTCCACCCTCAGCACATCCGCTCTATCCCCAACACCACCCACCCAACATCCGCCAGGTGACCCCCCCCCGCCATTCCGGGCACCCGGGCCCGCTCGTGTCGATGTTGCTCGTCCACTCGGCCCATCATCTCTTCAGAGCTTCGCATGAGCTCCGCCAGCGACGCCTCCAGCACCTCCGCCGTGGCACCGTACGGGACCGCACCGTGGCGTGCACACGGAGTGACCGCACCTGGATGGCGGCCCTTTGAGCTGCACAGTCCTGGCCAGTTGGTGCAAGAAGGATGGGAGAATCCATAGGCACTGCGATTTGGGCATACAGTCGTAATGAAGGCACCGCAAAAAAACGGCCGGCGTATGGCTCAATCTTCCACCCATATCAGATAGGGTTTGGCTCCAGACCTGTGCTCTTGGGAGTCTGTTCATAGCCCTGGCTCAAGTCAAGGGGTGCCAGTACTTAAAGTTAGTCTTGGCTTGGCACTTTGCTCTAATCTTCAGAAGTGCTAGTACCCCTTGTGCCTGGCTTTTGGTTAATCCCCATATCATCAGGGCCAAAGTGCAAAGCGGACTGCCAACCACTTGCCGTTTGAGTTTATTTTGGCCCGTACCTCAGCTGCATGCACATTGGCATCATCTGTGTTCGGCGCAGCCTGTCAGTCTGACTTTTCTGTCCTGTTTTTTTGTTGGGTCGAGGATAGAAGTACCATGACCTACTCGTGCTCCACGTCAGCACCAAACTACACCAAACTCACTTGCAAGTGACGACGCAATAACAACAAAATGACCGTCTCAAAACCATCGAACACCTATCAAGCGTCTCCAAAATGAGATCAAACGGTGACTGATTCCAGCTGTGAAGGAGCCTGACTGGATGAGGCTGGCGCCTCCGTGTCTTCATCGCCCGACTCATCCAGCTTCCTCAGCTGCACGTCGATGTCCTGGCCCCGTGACCAGCGGACCGAACACCGGTTCCCAGTGTCCAAGCCGCTCGGTGGCTCTCGGGAGCGGGTCCGGGCTTTGGACCGTTCTCTGCGGACCCGCCAGTAGAGGGAACACTCGCAGCAACGGTGATGGCGCCGGGTGAATGAAGTTGACACACTTGATACGATGAATATCAATATATATGGTCTTTTTCCCCTGAACCCCCAAGTGGTACCTAAAAATGTGCTCGAGTTGTTTCATGCTCGCTTTCATGCGTTTTAGCCTGAAGTTAAAACGTGTTTGATGTTCTCTTTCTCAGGGTTCAAGATAGTAAACTCAGCAAAAGGTTAGTGGAGACCTGGATTTATATAAACCCCATAGACACCCGCACATGAAGACCTGAACGTTTTTCAGCCACTTTCGCCATCGTCGTCTGTAGTGAGACTGGCAGGTTCTCATTGTATTAGATCTAATATATGTACAAAAGACCTTGTTGTGTTACATAGGGTCACAATTGTCTGTGCATTTGAGGAAAAAGCTATACAGTATGTTGTAAGTACAATCAGACTTTCAGTGTTTTTTCGCTTTACGGAATACTAAAAAGCAGGATTGACTAAATCCCTCAAGCCGTCAGCTTTCTTGGTGGTTATTTAGAAATTCGAATAGAAATTCAGAGAAAAGAGAAAATGAAGAACCTTTAAAATGGAGAAAATAATCTGCGGTTTTGCAGAATCCTGCAAAGATAGAAAGAACTAAATAGAATTAAGCAAACTAGTTGTTTTTCTTTACAAAGTTTGCAAAATTCAAAAGATACCTAAATCCCACACGGGCCTTTAGAACTGCCAAGAAGGCTTTAAGAAAAGAACTATAAGAAACAAACACTCTTTGTTTGGGTGTTTAAAAGTAGTCGCAAAACTTAAACACAACTCAAGGTTTCTAGAATATTGAACCTGCGACTCCAATAGGTGGTAGTTGCATATGGGACCTCTCTCACATGATGGTCTGCAAAGCAATCAATTCCTCATTTAGTGATCCTAATTGGAATGATGCACACACATTCCTGATCCAACAACGATGGAAGCTCGACCATCTTCACTGGACTCCAAATCGGACGATCCAACCGGTCGATCTCGTCGATCTCGTTCTCGTCCAGAACGAGACGGCTCGACCGAGACGGAGAGAACGAAGGCGCCAACGTGACCCGGCAACGAATCGGCGCCAACAGGTCTCTCCAAGACCATCACCAACACCTTCAAAGGGCGCCTGTCGGACCTGTCGACTTGCAACCGAAAGGCCTGACATCACACATGGTCCTTCATGTCCTTTCCACCCCTTTTAGATGCTGCAGAAGCGAATGAAGGAGAGTTGGAAGCGCTGGGGAGCGCCGCACAAGGGCGAAAAGACATGAGCCAGCGGGCATATTCCTTTTATGAAAAAGCGATGATCGGCAAAGGTTGTCGCGTCTGGTGCTTTGTTGTATTATTGTCCAGTGTTTCAAACATATTCCAAGAATAATATGAGTATGTTATTGCCGTTGGTTCTTCACCATATCGCCCATGCTCTTACTAAGAAAAAGAGAAAAGCAAAAATAATATGAATGTTTAGTGTTCTTAGTAGTCTTCAAGACTAGAATAACTAAAGACAGTTATATATATATATGTGGTTTAGTCTTTTGCAAAACTCTATGTGTATGTTTAGAATGTTGTGTGTGTGTTGTTTACTTTGTTCATGGTTCGTATTCTGCATAGCTGAAAATACAAAATTATTGAGTTGGCTGTTCTTTACAGTTTTGTAGAACTTTAAGATCCAGGACACCTGGTGGCTTGGGGGATTTAGATTTAGTGTCTTTAGTTGTTTGTGTAGTCCCCAAAACTGCAAAACCAAATATATATACATATATCGAAAGTCTAGCTTCTTTAGTATTATGCAAAACTTAAAAAAATGAATATGGTTAGAATTGTATAGAATGGTTCTATTTTGCAAATTGTTTACAGACATTCTAAACACCCGGTTAGACCTGGTGACTTGAGGGGCTTAGTGTTTTGGATATAGTCTAGTCGTTTTTTGAACGTATTCCGCAAACAAACGTTCAAACACCCCTTTCCTTGTGTTTGAGGTTTGCTTTGCCTTCCGCAGGACTAAAGAACTAAATATGTTTCAGAGTAAGTGTTTTCTTTTAGTGATTTCGAGCCTCCACTGTTCAGTTTAGGCTCTCTAGTTGGATCATCGCATTCTATCTAGAGGTATGCACGCTACTCTACGTTCCCCTACCTGGACAACTATTCTGGTCTACCTTACAGTATTTGATGCTTCACATGATGCTTCATACTCTTCACATCTCTTCACCATGAACCTTGATACTATACCACAACGCCTCATCTTCCACATTCTGGACTTCAGGCTCCATTTGCTTCGCCCAAAAAATGTCCATTGCACCCTTCTCTCTACTCTACGGCACCGTTCTGTTACAGTAGTCCTTGAATTCAGTCCACCTTCCCCTACTCCACTCTAGTGAATTCATCCAAAGTAAAATGGCTTAGGGTAGAGTGCAGTAGGCTAACTGGGATAGAATTGTCTATCATTGTCTATAATTCCCTACTCTATCACGTCCTTTTCTCATTCCATGTGTCTTACATTGTCAACCGTCAAAAAGCAAAAGAGCAGGGTAAGTTACAGTTAGAGCAGGATTGTGTGGGGTAGTCTGGATTATATAAAATAATGCAGAATGGACATATCTATTTTACGTGAAACATGATAGGACTTGCAGCACCAAAGATTGCAGGAAATTCCATAAAACTCGGGTCACCATGCGTCAGACCATTCTTTAAAACTTGTGCTTTCAAGGGTATATAGTGGTCCCCAAATAGATAGTGGCACAGTGTCCAATACATGTTGAAAGGGATTTTACATTTCTGTCCATTTGGGGATCTATATACTGAATGTATGTAAATACCCTGGCAGTCAAAGACTATACAAAGAATTGTCTTTAGGTGACCCGAGTTGGCATGTCTTTTGCTTCAGTCGGTCAAAATATAGTCTTTGGACTTCTAAGGTATTACGGAATAACTGGATGTTGTTTCTTCTGCTTGGGGAGCACGACCACTCTTGCTGACTTGCCTCTGGAAGAGTTTGAAGGCCAAGTGATGCCAGAAGCTGTTTGGCCTGGCCGTTCGTTTGTTTTCAGGTTCGCTTTCCACCATCTTTCTTGTCTAGCCATGATCTCCGTTCCAGCCATGTGAACCAGCCATATCTTCTTAAGATAGTATTCTCTTGCTCATGGCAATGAGAGAAACACTTGGCAATCTCCTCTTTCCGGTCACCATCGACCGCCATTTTACCCTGTGTAGCGGCGTGGCCGCGTGGTCCATCTTCACTCACCGCAGACCCCGAAAGAAATCACCCCAAACCCACGTATCGACCATCGACACCCCCCCGGGGGGCCGCGTGGACACTCGCTCGGTGTGCACCGGGACCGCACCTTCTCTCGCCAGAAGTCCAGTTGCTGAAGCAAATGCTCGTTGCTGGCCGCGGCCTCCCCGGTGACGACGACGACGCGTGCCGACAGGAGTGTCCAACAAGCCAAAAAGCTGTCGATCGTCGGTTCAACTTGGTTGATAGAAGAAGAAGCCATCGGCATGGACATTCCAGGGTGATTTCAGCTATGCGGTCCAGAAGAAAATGCTCATCCAAGTGGCCATTTTCCATGTCCTTTCATTGTCTCAGGGAGTGTAGGTTTTTGAGTCCAACATGGCCTTTAAGTCCCCTCTCTGGCTTTCGTGAATCTGTCTGGCTTTCTTGAATGTTTGGCTTCCTTGAATCTGCCTGGCTTCCCTGAATGTGCCTGGTTTCCCTGAACCTGCCTGACTGGCTTCCTTGAATCTGTCTGGCTTCCCTGAATCTGTCTGGCTCCCTTGAATCTGTGCCACGCAAACGTTACCCACTGCCTGCTGGGTCGCTTCTGAAGTGAAGGCCAAACGCTCGCGTGAAGCGGCCTGCGGAAAATCCGCCAAACAAATATTCAACAAACCCAACAAGTCGATGTTTCGTACAGAATAACCCTTCCCAAACCCAAACATAATGGTGCAAGGGTTCAAGGATGATGCAGTGGACTGCATGTCCGGCTAAAAATAGATTTGTTCATTGTTATTCAGCGCAATCGATGATAGCTGAGCTTGTTGTGTTCGCTTGCACAGTTGAGGGTACCTCCTTAGCTCTTCCCAGGGGGGTCCCACTGAAAAGTTCTCCCTACAGTTCACTAGACCCAAATGCTTCTGCTGAACAAAAAGGCCTCACGCTGGAGAAACTCCGCCTGCATCGCCTCAGGCAGCTGTGTCTGAAAACAAGGGGCCCAAAGAAGAAACTAAAGAGACACCTGATCTAGAGGAAAAATAAATGCACACCATTGTACATCCATGAATTCGGAACTTGAAACCGGCGCCCAAAAATAGACAAAACCATACAAAAAGGCTTGAAACACAAAAATCCTCGGAGGTGCTGCGTGAATCGACCTCCTCTTCTTCTTCTTCTTCTTCTCCTTCTTTCATGTGCTTTTTTCTCCAAGTCTCCAAGGACTCCAAGAGGGAAGTTGTCACATCGAAACCGCGCCACCGGCCGTGGTGTCCCGCCACCGCTCGCTCGGCACCCCGCCTCCATGGCCTCGGACTCGAGGAGCTCCGGACCGGCCGAGGGCGCCTTGGAGCGGCGGAGCAATGGCATCCCCCCGTGTCGGTGGATGAGGATTCCCATCCAAGATCATCCTTGGGGTTGTGCCATCGAACCTCTGAAAACCTCTGAAATTAGAGGTGAAAACGATTTCCCTTTTTGGAAGCCTCCACCCCAATAGCGATGGCCTCCACCGGGCGTTGCGTCCTTGCTCCTAGTAGTAGCCTCCCTTTGGAGACCCAAATCGGTCAGGGGGTCCGGAGTCGGCTCTTCCTGGTACTGGGCTGTGATCGAAAAGACCACGAAAAAGGTTCGCTTCGCAGGACAAAGCGGAGAGAGGCCAGAAAATCTGCCGTGGTGGGTGGAGGCGCAGATCGTTCTTCTCCTTTTTCTCTGGCTATCACGGGAATCTCTTCAACACCCATGTTTTTCACACCCATAAGAAGAAGGGTTTCCTAATGCCTCAAGGACTTTGAGCAACCACTTCGACTCGTGTTTCAAGATCTGCTGTTGAACAGTCCGGCACAACCTTAGAGCCATGCTATCTCCAGTGAAAAGCTTGATACTGCCTGGCATGCCCAGAAGTGGCCCTGAGTGAAGTGAGATACCCTCCCAAGTACAGAGGTACCCAATGGCCCTTGGGGGGGCAGTATATAGACTCCAATCCCCAGCCTTCCACAGACTTGTGTTTCTCTTCCGCAAAAACATTGTGACAAGGTTCCATCAAAACCTTCATAGACTAGTGACTAGCATCAAAGGACGACTCCCAGATGACTAGATCGTCTCTAAAATGAATGCAACCATGAGCCTCATGTAGCTTTGGTCGAGTGGCATCGCTAGTCTCAGCAAGTGCTTCCAACTGCTGGATGCTCCGCTCAACCTGTGGGCAATTCGAAGATGATGAAGAGCGAAATGTCCACAGGAACATGTGTGGCCAAATCGAAGATGATGAAGAGCGAAACATCCACAGGAACACTGCCAAGCCCCAAAGATGGCTCAAGTGGCCTGTATTTTTTCCTCCGTTTTGTAAGCCCTGCGTAGCCCTGCTAGAGGGCTTGTTCACTTGACCACCTCATCAACTGGTAACAAAGCACAACCAAGCGGGTTAGGAGGTTCACCCTGCGCATTCCGACATGGACCCATGTGCATTTCGATGACCACCCTCATGGGCCCGGCGACGCTACGTCCTGGATTGAGAAAAATGTATACACTCCGTGAAACAAACCATGGAAGTGGACAATCCCCATGGAAGTGGAAGTGGAAAAGAGATGAAAAGAGTGTTCCAGGAGGCCAGAACGTCCACTTAAAGACACGTCCGTGACCGGCCATGACACCTCCTGCAAACGAGCTTGCTGAGCACTTCGGCTTTCGCCGCGCTCGGCCTGGCGGTGCAGCAATGGGCGCAGAGACGCTGACATGCTGTTGCGCTGACCATGGGCGCAAGGGTGACATGGTGTTTTCTGACGTGCTACGGCTACCATGGCTCTTATGGTGTGCACGGTCGTGTGGACGTCTGCAACGCAAACTCTTTCTACAGAAGAGCCCATTGTCAGTCTGTCATGTTATGTGGCAAAATGCTGTCATGCTGATATAGCACTGTTGCACGGGCACGTCGGCATATGTTGTCTCCCTGATATGCTGTCATGCATCATGCTCACGCCGGCATGTTGTCAGGTAGTCATGCTGGCATGTTGTCCCTATGTAAAAAAAAACATCGATTCGCGCGATGTCTCGCCTCCTTCAGTCGCAGCTCCGCGACACGTTCTCGCAAGGCAGCTAGCCTGGTGATCTCCAAGACGGAATCGATCTCCAAACAAGCGATTTTTTGCAGCCAAACATGATGATTGCAGCCAATCAGTTGGATCATTGCAGCCAAATTGCACCAATCAAGAAAATCTTGTTTTGGCCTTTTTCCGGATTGTTTGACCTGTCTGATATGATCGTTCCGAGAACAGGGCCTGTCTTGGACATGGTCTTCCTCTTCACCTGCACCACCGGAGCACCTAAACCACGATGCCCTGTTATTGAAACTAAGACCCTGCCAGTAAAATCTTTGGCTATATACTTGGTTACATCATCTTACATCACTTATGTTATGAACATATAGACATGCCTCCACCGATATCCGCGCGCGGCAAAAGCCCGCGCGAACCTGTCTTTCGACCAGTCCGTTGGTCTCTTCTGGGTGATGGGTGTGTCATTGGTTGTGGGGAGACCTGTTGGCCCAATGGGGTTTTTTGGATGGTCTTGTCCTTCCCCAAGGGGGACATGTGGGGGGTCTCCCTATTCCAATACGAACCCATATTGACCCTAGCTGCAGCTCCCAACAGCATCGCCTTTCTCGATGAAGTTCCCTTTAAGCTCCTGCCGGGACCCGCGGCGGGAGCTTTCCGCTCAGGAGACAAGGCCAAACGGACGGAACATGACGGAACGAACTTCATCCCAGAAAGGCGAAGAAAAAAACATAATATGTTTAGATATGTCCTGGCATGTCTTCCACCTAGAATCCGTTTAGCTCATTCAACCTCCTTCACCCACTGACTTCTTCCAGAAATCCCAAGAACATCAACACAAAGACTGGCTCGGCATCGCGCGCCAAACGAGCCACACCATCAGGAAAAATAAGACACGTCCTTTTGCGGAGCATTGGCTGGACGTTCACTCACTTAGTCGTCGCTGTTCTTTCGGCACGCTTGTCGTCGCTTTTCAACAACGCGCTCGCAGTCGCTGCAGTCGCTCGTCGCTGGGAGTCCTGGAGGTCGGAACCCAACTGGTTCTTCAAGTCCGACAACCCCTGAGGTCGACCCAACCGTCGACCCCAAACCACCAGCAGCACGACATCGTCGAGGTGGGAACCGTCGAGACGAAGCGCGCTGGGGCGTCACCGAGCCGATCGGTGCTCGATCGGTGGACACTCTCCAGGAAGCGGTTTCAAACGGGGCACCTGTCAACTGAAAGCCGTGTGAACGAAATCATGGGAACAACTATGTCTTTCTGCTTGGTTTCCAGGGTTTTCAGGTATCCAGTAATCTTCTCGCGCAGGTGATCCATCAGTGCGGCTCGAAATGAAAGGCTCTGACCAGGAGAGTTGGACACCGGAGCACAACCTCTTATCTAGGAAGGTCAAAAAAAAAACAGCCAGGAAGCTTCACCGATCTCTAGTCCAGTCTGACCCAGGTTCAAAACCATCCAACACCTTGGTCCTGAAAACAAAGAAACTGAGTACAAGTCCAGTTTTTAGTATGACCAACTCCATCTTAAAATGAGGTCCCAGAGTGTTGCCCGTAGATCCATGTAGGGTGTTGAGGTCTTCGTGGCCCCAAAAAATTGGTGCTAGTGTTCAGTGGAAGTTCCTTAAGCTCCAGCAACACAATGTGACTTTGACCCCTAGCGATCCCTAGCGTAGGTCACCGGTGCCCCAGCTGTCTTCCTGTCTTCTTCCCAAAAACAGTGTGACTTCACCATTGGTCTTCCTTCAGAGCGAGCGAGCGTGACTTCAGAACGGATTCTTCCTAACTTTAGGAGTCACCAGAACGCCACCAGCAAGACTTGGCTGTGGGTCATGGCACCGTCACCAAGTGGAACGCCAGAGTTGAACAGTTCAATAAGGATCAGCTGGATACACCGCAAGTGGCGGAGCACCACCTCCAATGACCAGGAGACCTTGTGTGGGCACGACCTACCGCAGGTCAGCCTGCATGGTGGACTGGTCCGTCGGGCGAAGATGCTGGGTCACGACGCATCCCCACTTCATCGCTGGCCCCTTGGGATGAGACCGGGAGAAGTCTCTCGAACGTTTCCCGGATCTCCGATAAAACCGGCCATGCAGAAAGAATCTCAGAAACCTATACAGTGGTTTCAGAGTAGATGGCACAAACCCCAAGATGTCCTTTATATAAGCCACCTTTGGGGGATGGTGCCATTGGTCCTCTCAACCCACTATATACTTATTTGGCTCCGGTGGCATAACGCTCT